CTTATTCAGACAACACAGGTGTGTACGACAACATGCATGGAAAGAGTGTGTGTCTGGGAGCATTCTGCAAATGGATCCACTCCTTATATTTGCATGTCCTTTAGAACTTGTACGCATGGAGGCTGCATGCATGTAATCTGTGCCCTACAACAATGGATGACCTTAACTATCCTTCCAAATGCCTGTTGTTTGCATCCCATCATCTGAATCAGGCTCCAGATCAGTGTTCCCTCTAAGCTGAGTTAGTGTGATCTAGCTCACAGTTTTTTAGCCTCCGGCTCACAGATTTTCATCTTCGCTCCGGGAGGATGGCTCCAGAGCCAAATCGCTTGCTCACCACTTCAATGCCAGTAGCTCACAAAGTAGAGTTTTTGCTCACAGTTTGAGGGAGCACTGCTCCAGAGACCATCATTCATGGATCATCCAGAAAAAGGGATTGTAACAAATTTAAAGGGTGCCACTGAGGAACACATGAACTTGCCTTATTGGTCCATCAAGGCCACCCAGATTGGCAGTGGCTCTACTGGGCAGGGTTGCCATCAGGGGTCATTTCCTGCAGGAGCGCACAGGAGCGGAGCTCCGGCAGTAAAGAGCCCAGGGGGCGGTCACATACAACAAGCCCCACCCCCTGCCCCCAGCAGCCCTCAGTCAGAGCAAGAAGCAGCCAGGTAAGTTGCAGAGCCCCCCTCCCAGCCCCCCGGTCCAAAACAGTCCAGTGGCACCTTTAAGAACAAGTTTTATTCAGGTACAAGCTCTCCCTGCTCTGCGAGGAGAGATCTGCACATCCCCCCCCCAATAACTAGCAATCCAAAACAGTCCAGTGGAGCCTGATCGGTGGGTGTTGCCTTCTGACACACTTCCGGTGATGTCAGGGGGTGTGGCATATGCAAATAAGTTCTGCTAATAAATTATGCTAATGAGTTATGCTAATGAGCTCCTGCACCTCTTTTTCTACGAAACAACCGCTGGTTTGTCTTCCAAACCCACCATTGGCCAATTGGCTGGTGGGGGAGCCCTGCCCATTTTAAATGTAATGTGCTCACTAGCCCCACCCTGGCTACAGCCATGCATCTCAAGGGAAAGCCACTGAGGCGCATGGAAGAGGATGCTCTTAAGACTGGAGACTATGTTAGGGGCCAGGAGGAAGCTCTCAGGGGCTGTACTTATTTATTTATTTAATTTCTAACCCTCCCTCCCCACACAGCAGACTGCTTCCCTGGCCACCAGCTGGCGTGTCTATTTTTAATCTTTGTGTGGCAGTGATTTGCAATTGTTTAGTTTTAAACTTCATTTAGCTTAGTTTAAACTTTGTATGAAATGACACCTGTGCCTGACCGACTGCCTTCTTGGATGTGTCATGATATCCAATTCTGAACTCAGAGCGTGGATCAAAAATCTACACAGTGGGGTTACATATAGCTACAGCCAGTTTGGTGTAGTGGTTAAGTGCACGGACTCTAATCTGGGAGAACCGGGTTTGATTCCCCACTCCTCCACTTGCACCTGGCTGGATGACCTTGGGCAAGCCGTAGTTCTGTTTTCTCATGGGCAGTCCTCGAAAGAGCTCTCTCAGCCCCACCCACCTCACAGGGTGTCTGTTGTGGGGAGGGGGAGGGAAAGGAGTTTGTAAACTGCTCTGAGGCTCCGAGTGAAGGGTGGGTATAAATCCAATCTCTTCTTCTTCTTCTTCTTCTTCTTCTTCTTCTTCTTCTTCTTCTTCTTCTTCTTCTTCTTCATCATCATCATCATCATCATCATCATCTAGATATAGATTGGAGGAAGACCCAGGTTTGCAGAAAAACATGAAAGGTAAGAAAAAAGGGTTTTTTAAAAAAAAACTTAAAGTTTTGATACAGATGAGAATACAACCGAGTTCTTGGGAGATTGGGTTGTGAGATCTTGCTGGTCATTTGGGGAGCTGCTATGCAATCCTCCAACCAACCTTGCGAAGGATTCCAATCCTTGGTTAATGTCAGCGGGGGGGAGGATCCTGACTAAGAAAGGTAAAAGACAGGAGGAAGGGAAGTGGGGAGGGATAAAAAAGGGAAAAGGGGGGAAAGCTAAAGGTGGGAGAGAAGAGAGAGAACAGACTGGATTTATACCCCGCCCTTCACTCGGAGTCTCAGAGCGGCTTACAATTTCCTTCCTGTCCTCTCCTCACAACAGACACCCTGTGAGGTAGGCGGGGCTGAGAGAACTCTCACAGAACTGCTCAAGGGAACAGCTCTGAGAGAACTTGTGACTAACCCAAGGTCACCCAGCAGCTGCATGTGGAGGAGTGAGGAATCAAACCCGGTCCTCCCAGATTAGAGTCCGCACACTTAACCACTACATCTAACTGGCTTTGGTGTAGAGGGGAATAGAAAAAGGTGGTTGAGTGAGTGGATAGAAACAGAAAATGCTAGGTAGGTGGGTGGAAGGGGGGAGAAGGCAAAGGGAGAGACTGCAGACACTTCCAGGGGGAGCAAAATAGGAAAAGCAAGTGGCAGTGAAGGAACAGAGGAAAGAGATCCCCCACCATGAGTCCTTGCAGTCTCCCACTCGTATGTCTATAATTAGGACGTTCCTTCAGTGGTGGTCTCTGGGTTGTTCAGGCACTGGTCAAACTCTCAAGGCATGCATTTGGGTAGTGCAACTGTTGCAGACGTCATTACATGCCTGCGCGTTATTCAATGATTCCAAGAATGCCCCAGGAAGCCCTTCTCCAGTTATCTCCTGGTATAAGAAAGGAACAAAGCCACTGGCACACTTGGGACCAATTCTCATTCTGCATTGCTGACCACTACGCATGCTGGAGGGGGGGGAAAGAGGCTAGGCTAGATGCATTCCAACCGGAGCAACCTTCTGTCACAAGAAGTATCTTCTCCTAGGAGGAACAGAGATCACGGAACGAGTCATCTCCACCGCTTAAGCAGACGCGACATGCTTTGCAGGTAGAGGCGCCAACCTTTTTGGCTGGCCTCTGCTCCTGTGCTTGGAACATTCACAAGTGACAATGCTCATTCCCATGCTGCCAAATGCGTCACCAGTACCAGATCGGGCTGCCCTTAGACAGGCTTTTGACTCCCCACCCCCCCGTCTCTTAGCGGCTCTAAGGGCAGGTCAGACAGAATAGAGAAACCAGAGTCGTCCAAGCTCCGACACACACATTGCGAGGGACGCACAGTGATCACACACGGGGGGGAGCAGGTACAGCGACCGAGGGATGCTCCTCTGGCGGACAGACATCTCACGTGGCCTGGGGAGGGATGGGTGGGGAGTCACTCATGCGTTTTGCTTACCTGCTCATGGTCGCTCGCCCACCATTGCCCATACTCCCTTTTGGAGTGAAACACTCTATTTCCGACTTGTGCTGGGCCAGCTTTCTGCCTTTGTACCTAACAAATCACGACAATGACAGGAGTGACAAAAACAGAGAGAAGTGATTGCGGGCTTGGGTGCGGGACCCTATCGTGCGTCAGCTGTGCAGAAGGGGAGGGGGTGGGGGCGGGGAAGAAAGGGACATGTGCAGAGGGTGGGCACCCGTTTCACAACCGACGGGCCTGCACATACAAACGGACTTCTTGGTCTTCTGGGAACGGGACCTCGAATGGATACAGGGGGAACTGCAAACATACATCTGGAAGCCTGCAAAGGGAAAGCAACGGCTCCCGTAGAGGTTGTGCGGCATGCCGATTCGCCTGGTGCAAAAGACCTCCTCTTGAAGCTCATTCGCCTGTTAGATGCAGCTATCGGGTTTTTTTCTGACACATGCCAAATCCTTCACCCTGAAATCGTAACCCGAGTTTAATGGCTGCTTGAGATAAGACACCATAAAGAGCGAAAAAGCTGCGGAATGAGACGCTGGACAAATGCTACTATGATAATTTTAAATATAAAGATTCGAAAGCATCTTCTTCTTCAGAGAGGTTTCCATATTAACACTTGTGGTGTTCTGTATATCGCCAAACTGTATTAAGGTCTTTTTGAAGATTGTTATACTCAGAAATCGCAAGTAGATAAATAGGTACCGCTTCGGTGGGAAGGTAACAGCATTCCATGCACCTTGGCGTTCAGTCAGGCCGGCCACATGACCACGGAAAAAGTCTTCAGACAGCGCTGGCTCTTCGGCTTGGAAATGGAGATGAACACCGCCCCTTAGAGTCGGATTTGACCAGCTTTTGAGCAAGGGAAAACCTTTTATATTCAGAGAAGACTGAAACGAAGCATGCACCCGGGATCTTCGTAATTGATTGCTACTGACCGTGCACTATATTGATTGTACTGTTTGCTATGCTATGCTTTTTTGTATCTTACTTTCTACGTTATGCTTTTGAACCTTTGCATTTGAATGATCACAGTATCATTTGTTCAGCGTCTCATTCCACGGCGCTATGCTTTTTTGTATCTTACTTTCTACCTTATGTTTTTGAACCTTTGCATTTAAATGATCATCATTTGTTCAGCGTCTCATTCCACGACACTTTTTTTGCTATTTACATTCACTGCTGGGAAGTCTCTATTTTGGTCCCTGAGATAAGACAGTCACAGGCATTGTTCCCTCTGTCACTTCCACTGAAAACAAAAAAGAAGCACACAGCACACCTTGCTTGCATTAGTAGTATTAAAGAACAGTGTGTCGTCTCCAGGGAGTTTTTGTTTTGCCCGCTAGTGAGGGAAGCAAAGCTTGAGCAGAAGAGAGAATCTGTATCCGAGAACGAAACCGGCACTGTAGTAAGAGAGCAACTGTGGGGGGTGTCTGCGTGCACGTGTCATGCTTTGGAGTGCCACCTTGCGAGTACTGAGTAGGGAAACCACAATGCAGTCTGTGGAAAGGAAACAACCGACTGTCCCAGAGACCATCGTAGCCACTAAGGACATCTAGAGCCACCAAAACACAGAAATAGGAGCGAGAAACTGACTGCGCGGCAGACTGGTGTTTGTGCAGGAGCTGCAGCATCGATTAGTATTTCGAGTCCGTTGCCCTTTCGAGAAAGCAGTGCTCGGTGCAAGGCTGTGCTGAGATCGTCGATTGGACATGAGAACCATGCAGGGGGGAGAGAGAGACGTATATACCTACTAATGCAAGTTGATTCCTACAATGAATGAAAAAGCAGATGCCGCCTGAGCTGTAGTTGAAACCACTGGAAAGATACAAAAGCAAGTCAAACCAGAGGGAACGAGCTCGTCGCTCAGAAGAGGGGGGGGGGAGGAAAAGATGAAAGAAGAAAGGAGCGTTAATCGGCTGTGTCTTCCGGCAAGGGATACAAATGTTCCCGGGGCCCTTTGGAACTTGAAGTGGTACAAACAGCCAGAATCAACAGCATGATGGATGGTTCCTGGCAATCTGATCCTATTTGAGAATTTACATCCCCTGTTTCCTATCTGATACAAGCCCTCTGCCGACACTATGCTTGAATTCTCTTCACGCAGATGGGGAAGTCCGCTAGCCTTGCATTTTGGGAGTGTGATTTGCACAATCGCATAATGTGTGGATTTTCCATGTGGATGAACTTCCAGTCACCCAGGATTCTGGTGTCTGTGAAGGGAAGCTGTACTCATATGGAAAATCCATGCCTTGCCCAATTCGTACAATGATGATCAGGTCGCTTGTAGGGAACCTGCGTGCTCCTGGTAACTTGCGGCTTGTGGGCTCCCACTTCAATTGACCAAAACACCAGAATAGTGTCTGCTGGGGGCTTCTCTGTTCAGTAAACCCAACCAGTTGCGTTATTCTGTTTGGGACTGCTTCTCAACTTGTAAGAAAGCATACCTCTGGTGGCAAGGATCCACTGCTTTTTAGAATGCTTGACCGCAGGCTCAGCCAGCATTATGTAATTCTAGACCATGCATCTGAAGAAGTGAGCTTTGATTTCACAAAAGCCTATGCTTTTGTTCGCCTTTAAGCTGCCACAGCTGACTAATGGTAACCCCTTATGGGTTTTCCAGGCAAGAGACAAAGAAAGGTGCGTAGTAGCAACCCTGCACTTCCTTAGTGGTCTGGTCTCCCATCCGAGTACCAACCAGGGCCAACCCTGCTTAGCTTCTGAGATCTGACGAGATCTGGCTAGCCTGGGCCACCCACATCAGAGACAGTTTTATTTAGCTAATATGATATGCAGCATGTTTCATTAGATGCAGAGAGATATTGTGCCTTTTCAGGTTCACTGTGATCAGAGATAGGTGTACCCCTCCGTATCTGAGAACACAAAGCACACAATTTGGCCACCAAAGATCGATATCTTGCATAGGTGTAGAATCAGTGGCACATAGTAGTGCCCTTGCAGATCTATAGTGTGCACCACCAATCACAACCAGCGCCACCGCTCACCGCATCAAGTTGCTTTTTCTTTTAGCCAATGGGCTGTCCCCAGTGGGCAGATCCTATGAAAGTGATGCATTTCAGTTTTCAGTATCTCAATAGCCCTGTTAACGTCTTACAGTGAACACACATATATCCTGCAGGTATTTCTGCTTGTAAGAAAGAGCCAATGTGCATTAACTTTGCAGCTGAAAACAGGGACCAGAACCTGCATAACTGTGAGGTTGGTATCACACAGTCTGCTGAAGAAGAAGAAGAGTTGGTTCTTTATACCCCACTTTTCTCTACCCTAAGGGGTCTCAAAGCGGTTTACAATCGCCTTCCATTCCTCTCCCCACAACAGGAGCCTCATGAGGTAGGTGGGGCTGAGAGAGTTCTGAGGGATAAACTGTGACTGGCCCAAGGTCACCCAGCCGGCTTCAAGTGGAGAAGGAGTGGGGAATCGAACCCAGTTCTCTGGATTAGAGTCCACCGCTCTTAACCAGTACACCATGCTGGTGTGTTGAAAGTAACATGAGAATTACTCAGTGTATGTATCAAAAAAAAAAAATTGTGTTCACTGCAAACAGATTGTACGTGTTTTCACTGTAATTTGTGTACAGGGCTCGTGTGTTGTTCTTTTTGAAGCATGATACAGCAAAACATTTTTGGGCACCACTGACTTGTCACCCTAAGCCTGAAAATCTCTAATGTCATTTGGAGGTTTTCAAACAGAGGCTAGATGGCAATGCTGATTCTGTGAACTTAGGCACATCATGAGGGAAGGAAGGGTTGCATCAGTGCTTAGTTCTTGTGGCCTTTCTTACATGCCCAGGGAAATGCTGATCACCACTTTGGGGCCCAGAAGCAATTGTTCTCCTGACCAGTTTGGCTAGGGACCCTGGAGGATTTTGTCATCTTCTGGGTGTGGAGCAGGGGGTCACTGGGGGTTTGGGGGGGAGATATTTGTGAATTTCCTGCATTGTGCAGGGGTTGGACTAGATGACCCTGGAAGTATCTTCCAACTCTATGATTCTAAGGCAATGTCCTGAGGATCTCTGGTGTCATTTAAGGCAACATCAACCAACCTGATGGTTCAGCGATACCCCATGAGAACTTCTGTGACTTTATTCACTAAACCTAACCTTAATTGGTGGAATGCTTCAATGATAATCCATATGTTTGTTCTGTAATATTCTACGTCTTGATCTATCTCCTAGCCTAAGCAACAGACTCTCACTAGGAACTTCCAACGTTTCCCCTTTGTGATAGTTTAGGCAATTTGCAACTTGCCTTATTTTACTGAACCAACCTGTTGTAGTCCAACACTCTCACCATGACATAGAAGTGGAGCTTGAAAGCCAGGGTGCTATAGCATGTCGGCGTACGGCTGGGGAGTCCCAGGTTCAAATCTCCACTTGGGCTAGTCATGTTTAGCAAAACCTACCTCACAGGGTTGTTGTGAGGAGAAAAATGAGGAAAGGGAGAAAACCTTGCAGGCTGCTCTGAACTCCTTGGAGAAAGGACAGGATTAAACAGGAGATACAGATTTACAGCTGATGTGGCCGCGGGAGGGAAATTTCATTATGTTTATTGATTGAGCGCTGGCGTCTCCTTCGTCCCTGGTTGGGCTCCAACAAGGGAGCGAGTCCTCGATCACAAAGACGAGTCAGCCTAATGAGAAATAACTGCCTTGAAAAACTGCAGTGGTGGAAATGAAAAATTGGCAGGTTTCAGTGGGTGGCCCGGAGGGGAGCGAGAGGAGTCTTTATCGATGTACCTGCGGCGACCAGCCCCCGCGGAGATAGGTCGAAACAGGCTCTGTGCAAGCAAAGTGCATTCCTACGCATAGCTACTCAGAAATAATATTTCCTTCCTAGTAATTGGAGTTACAAAGGCAACCTTATCAACTAAAATCACTTAAGGATGCATTCAGACATCACTTTAACCAATGGGAGGTCTCGGTCTCTATCTATGCCTGCCTGCCTGCCTATCTGCTTATCTATCATCCATCCATGCAACCATCCACCCACCCAATCCACCCAATCCACCCAATTCATCCACCCAATCCATCCACCCAATCCATCCACCCCATCC